AACTCCGCGGAGCGAGTGGGAGCTGGAGCGCCTGTCTATATGGCGGCCGTGCTGGAGTACCTGACGGCCGAGATCCTGGAGCTGGCGGGCAACGCGGCGCGCGACAACAAGAAGACGCGCATCATCCCGCGCCACCTGCAGCTGGCCATCCGCAACGACGAGGAGCTCAACAAGCTGCTGGGCAAGGTGACCATCGCGCAGGGCGGCGTGCTGCCCAACATCCAGGCCGTGCTGCTGCCCAAGAAGACCGACAGCCACAAGGCCAAGTGAATACAGCTTCAGGACTTTTTTTTCCTCCCCTTCTTTTGAGAAACATAATCCAAAGGTTCTTTTCAGAGCCGCCCACAATGTTCATAAAAGAGCTTAGTTACCAATATTATATTTGTACAAAGGCATATAAATTACTCAACGAATCAATGCATTCTGATTTTTAATACGTTTTATTATCGCAAGTTCTGGATTTGGGAAAGCAGCATTGTTTGCTACTTCTATCGTTGAAAGAAAACCGTGGCAGAATATTCAACCAAAGAAAGTTCCTCCTGGTATGTAATAACGACACGTTCAGTTCTTGAACCAGGGAACACTGCAGCAACGGGTTTCGGCGGGAGCTTCCCTCTCCGCCCCCGCCCCTTGCCCTTCCCTCCGCTTTCGCGTTTCTCTTCCGTACGAGTCAGAATCTGCACGGAGATGCAAGGCGTGATCTTCTTCGGGGAGGGAGGGTGCGGGGAGCAGGGGCAGTGGGCTGGGCTCTCCTCTGGCCAATCCTTAGTCAGGGCGGGCTTTTTCAATACCTCTTTCTTTTTCAAGAGGAACAAAAGGATGGAAGAGCTCAGGGACGTTTCCTGAACAGTAAGTTTCTCCCCCCCCCCCCCCCGCCGCGCCACGAATAGACAAAAGCATTTAAAGGCAACACCATAGAAAAACAATGGATTATACATGGCTCAGTAGTAGCGTGCCTAACAATTGCATTACTTTTGTTACAAAATATATTTAAAAAGTTACATCCGATTTTTATCAAATCAATATTATAAAAGGTTTCGTCTTGGTAAAGTCAAACCAATTACTCCATAATGATACAAATAGATACACTTCCCTAAAACTGCCGCGCTATCCCGTACAAATAAGTTTGTTTCAATACTCGCAGGGGAAAACAAAACAAAAAACAGAAAAAATAGTTTAACCTCGGACGACTTACGAATTATTGGATCCTTGCTGCAGATCTGCAGGTTACTGCTGACTTTGGCGCCTCAGCTCCATTAGGGATAGTGTGGGTGGCTCTTAAAAGAGCCGTTGGATAGCAAAATATGTAGAGCAGGACTCCTCCAGTATCATTTACTTCTTCTTGGGCGCTGCCTTTTTCGCCTTCGCTGCTTTGGGCTTGGTCGCCTTGGGCTTGGCAGCCTTGGGCTTCACCGCTTTCGCCTTGGCCGGGCTCTTCGCTGCCTTCTTGGGGCGCCCAGCCTTGGCTGCCTTCTTGGGGCTCTTGGCTGCTTTCTTGGCCGCGGCAGCCGCCGGCTTCTTCGCCTTCTTGGGGCTCTTCTTCACCGCCGCCGCCTTCTTGGGCTTCTTGGCGGCGCTCGCGGGCTTCTTGGCCGCCGCCTTCTTGGGCTTGGCTGCCGCCGCCGCGCGTTTCTTCGGCGCTTTCTCTTTGGTCTCGCCGGGCTTCTTGTTTAGCCGGAAAGAGCCGGAGGCGCCGGTGCCCTTGGTCTGCACCAGGGTGCCCTTGTTGACGAGGCTCTTGAGCCCCAGCTTGATGCGGCTGTTGTTCTTCTCCACGTCGTAGCCGCCGGCCGCCAGCGCCTTCTTGAGCGCGGCCAGCGAGAGCCCCTTGCGCTCCTTGGAGGCGGACACGGCCGTGGTGATGAGCTCGGTGACGCTGGGGCCCGAAGCCTTGCGGGCTTTGGAGCCGGTCCTCTGCGGAGCAGGCGAACACAATTGGGCTGGCGCGGGTCAGATGCTCGTATTTTTAGCGAGAAGCCGCGCGGTGATTGGTGCGTTGCAGAGCCCGCCCCGCGGCACGGCCGGGGAGCCCTTCGGTGTGCTCGATTTGTGTTTCTTTGGACTAACAAAAGTGTGTTTTCCTCCTGATTTCTACCACCAAATCGCTCCGTTTCCCCGGTGAGGGAAGAGAAGACAAGGTACTTGCGATCGGTAGAGTTTCTAGTGTCAGACACGCGAGCTGGGTTAAAAGAGAGGCGATAAATCCCGTGTGCTGCTGCCGGAGAGACCTCTGAGGAGAGAAACTTTTGTTTTTCCTTGCAAATTAAAAATTTCCTTTCGACTAAAATGTTACAGCAGCGACCAAATTTGATTCTGTAGAGGGTTTTCTTCTAATCAAAGTTGAAATCTGGTAATTTAAACGTATTTTGACAATTTAATTTGGTTTTGAAGAAGAGGAAGTAACACAAACTCCTCTCTCAGCTCTGAATATGGATTAAGAACCGGTTCCTTTGACCATGTGTTTTACCTCCTAAAACACTAAAGTCTATTGAAATAGTGTCTCATACAGCCTCCTATTACTCATAGTATAAAGCCATAAACTATTTGTTAATGTCTGGGAATTCATTAAGATGTGATTGTTTTATTTCGTCTTCCTGGAATTTCAGCAGAAGGGATGCAAGCTAATCCTATTGCCCTACGTGCTTTTTTCTTTTGTTTCTTTTTACTGTGAATTTCTTTATCAATTATTAGCTAAATCAAGCAATCTGTTTTTCGTGTAGGATTTTTATTTCAGCAATACTGCCAGTTGACAAGTTACATTGCAGTACAACAGTTTTGTAAAAGAAACTAACCTCCTAGGCTACTGGTGATATTTACTGAAATTATGTCTTTGTCTTTCCAGGTTTTTAGGATCTAATGTAGCAGTCATATAACTATGCTCTTACTGCCTAGAAAGTATTTATTAGCTTCTGTGTGTTTTCTCTAATAATATCAGATTTTAAAACCACATTCCACTATTTTTTAATAATACCTCACACAGTAAATCTGCACAAAGATTTACCTGCAGCCAGTTCTGAATCTTTCTGGTTAATAATTTATATATATGTGTGTATATACATATACATACACACATATATGTATATATATATGTAATGCATTTCCTTAAGCATTTTATGCACATCATAGAACAGAGGAACAATTTTCAGGACAACTGGAGCTCTTTGTGATTGCCTGAGTTTAACTAGGTAGGCCACAGTGTGTTCGTAGAGAACCAAGAAGAATGCAATCAATATTGACATCTGGTTAAAGATGATGCAATATGCTGTAGAGAATGGAGTCCTGGAGTAAAGATTTAATGAATTTTTATCTGAATATGACCAAATATGATTTCCATTGTCTTTTCTAGTTACTTAAGAATCACACATCTTTCAACTGTGGCCTTGTCCTCCTTGTCCTCCCATTTTCTTTGACACCATGAGGCATACATTATAATGTAAGCACAGGACAAGCAATACTGACATGATACTAGCAATACTAATTTCAGATTATACGAATATTCACTTTTAGGAAAGTATATTTTTTGTCTCATTTTTTCATTTCAGATTATTGTTTTTATCAATATTACAGATGTATATAATGTGAAAATCTCTTTTAGCTACTGTATAATTGGGCTCAGAGGGTATGAAGCTGAGTAAAAAATAATAAAACAAAAAAACTGCAACCTTCACTTAGCAGGGAAAAATATAATACAGCAGTTTGCAGAAAAGGGTGATGCTCAGCTCTGTAATACTTCAACATTAAGATGATTGAGAGATGAGCTAATCAAATTAGAACATTTTAAGGGGTCGTTTTTAAAAACTGTATAACACAAGATAAGCATATAGGTGTGAAATAAGATAGATTAGATGTTGGATTGAAGATATACTTTTATGAATCAGCAAAACTGAAAGTATAATAATAATAATATATTTATATCTATATTTACATATATATCTTACATCCTATTTTCATTCTTAAATCAATTAATGGAACTTTCCAGAGACTTCATTTAATACTGAAATAGGCTAATAACATTAGGAGATGGTATTTACCCAGGTACAATGGCTTCATGGTACCTCAAGTTGAAGGGGGACGTAGAGATACATATCAGCAACATGAAAATTATTCCTACCTACTCTTGTTATTTCAGACTTTAAAATAGTGTCAATTAATATTTGCTGGTGGCTGAAATTAAGGTAGCTAAAATAGTCGCCATCCTAGTTGTTTGCCTTGCTTTTCTCCCAGAGGCTGCTACACTCTCTGCTTCCCCAGCCAGTGAGAGCTTCTAGCATATACAAAGCTACTAGCTTTAAATCTACAACAGCTATAACCAGCCATCTAAAATAAATTAAAGAAACCCCAAAAGCCCCCGTAGTCAAGGAGAAGCTGTTTTGTCCTTTCATTGCATCAAAGAAAGAAAATAACTTCGGCAGTGCAGAATGGCTACTTGAAACCTATGTGTTCTTTCCTATTTGGAAGAAATGTATCCAGAGCCAAAATTTAGGAAAGTTAATGTGCATTTTGGCACTTTTACCAAGGGACTGCCACACAGTCAGAGCAGACAGATTAGAAGGAGATGAAAGATGCAGTCAGGCAAGAAGCAAGAAAGAGAAACTCCAGGTGAGCAAGTGAGGAAAGTGAATATTCCAGTTTTAAGTAAATGATATTGGGGAAAGACCCTAACAAAAAGGTCAGCACATAGACACTAGCAAGCAGTATGGCCTTCCTAATAAGGCAGCTGAAGGGAAGCAGACTACCATTCACTGGAGAAGGAGAAAGAGCATGACTTTAGGTTCTCCAGAGAACTTTTAAGAGGACATCATTGTAACAACGACTACATTTGAGTGACTCCAAGACTCCTCACCTTGTGGGCAGCCTAGCAGGCCATACTATGTCCAAACCTGCACAAGATCATAATCCAAACTCTTCAAGTAACTCCAATCCATATACCCATCTCTGTTCATCTTCTGTAGTCATTTATTAAGGCCTCATGGCAAAATCAAGGTGACGTATGAACCACAGCCAATGGAAGGTTGTGCACCTGAGAGGTATCAAACATTCCCATCTGCAGCTTAGAACCTGCCAGTACCTGTTCCCCAGAAAACAAGCTCCAGGTTATATTTAGATACATTTCTAATAATGAGAGGTAACATTGCAGTTGTTCTTTTCAAGCAATTTTCTTAGGAGGCACTAGCATGAGAACTGGCCACACTGTCATGATTAATGGGCTGCTCTGCCTGCAGCAGCTAGGTCCAGGAGTTGGTCTTTCTGAGACAGATGAAGGAGTTGGAGTTGACGTGTGTGCACAGGATGACTCCTGTCCTTCCTCCCAGTACAAGTTCCAGAGAGATTTTTGAGAATCGTTTTACGATGCTGCTGTCTTGTGTATATGTGCTCCCAGTATAAAAGTATAAATACTCTCTGCAACAGGTATTACACTCATACGGCAGTATTACACCCATGCTTTATTTGTCCTCATCCTTCATCCAAGTTACAATGTAATAACCTCTCTGATCAAACCAGCCGGCACAGTTTAACTGCTTTTAAACCTTAGCTAAGCAATTTTAAAATGGTACCTACCAAACTACAAACTCATTGCAGTTCAGCAAGGTAGTCTCTGCCTGCATAATACTAATGTTGCTGCTGATGCTTTTGTTAATGCTTTTAAGCTTAACAAGGCCACATAAGGCCTATTTAAGCTAGAGTGTGGTTAAACACCTATAGTGCGCAGCATATATAGGGTAGGGCCCTGGATGACTGTCATCATAGACTCAACCTCCTGGAATGCTGCACCCTCCTCCCTGTATTCTTGGTTAATGGTTTGGGCACTTAGTATAGCATAGTGTACTGTGTTGCATCATTTGGGAAATGAAATATATATATATATGTAGTCCAAAACCAGGATATGGCAATATTTAGGAGATTGTGAAGGATGTCTTCCATGAGTCCTCCTCTATTCCACTCACACTTAATAATAATAAATAACATCAAGAAACGGTACTGCCACAGCTTCTCCATCAACATTGAGGCCTGGCTGCTCAGACAAATGAGCAGCCCACACAGAGCAATGCTGAGAAACTTGCTTTGCATCCAGTTACTCCTGCATACTTCCTGTCCTCCACCCTTTCCCAGTTGTGTGCTGGTGCTCCCAGTTAACTCTATCATGTGCAGAGCTGGTCTTGGTAGATAGCAGCCTGATATGTGCCTCTCACCCCAGTTAGAGCCACATTTACCCCTGTGGAGGCACAAAGTGCAGACGTAGCTGATTCACAGCCTGCCATGTGACTGGTCACCAGGTATATTTGTGTTACGAGGTGACCCATTCTTGCTATCGAGCCAGTAATGATGGCAGCTAAGCACCATGAAGGCTGGACATCCACTGTCTCTGAGAGCCATAATGCTCTGGCAGGTATGTGAGGTGTGTTCCCATTAAGTGATGCTGCTTTGCCCGATTTCCTTATTGCTGTGGGGGTGATATCTAGTTCTAGGTAATATTGTTTGCATTACTCTTCCAGAGCAGGAGCATCACAAGGTAGTATGGGAGCCAACACTATTGCCTGCTTGACTTAGAATCATAGAATTGTTAAGGTTGGAGAGACCTCTAGAGATCATCTAGTCCAACCCCCCTGCACTTAGGGTCACCTACAGCATGTGGCACAGGACTGCATCCAAGCGGGTTTTGAAAATCTCCAGAGAAGGAGACTCCACATCTTGGCAACCTGTTCCAGTGCCTCTGTCACCCTCACTGTTAAGAAATTTTCCTTAAGTTCCTGTGGAACTTTTGTTGCTTCAGTTTGTGGCTGTTTCCTCTTGCCCCATCGCTGGCCACCACTGAAAAGAGGCCAGCACCAGCCTCCTCACTCCCTCCCCTGAGGTATTTATATACACTGATCAGGTCTCCTCTCAGCCTGCTCCAGGCTGAACAGGCCCAGCTCCCTCAGTCTCTCCTCACAGGGCAGATGGTC